GGAGGCCAAGCGGACGGGCGGCGGCGGGGCGGCGGCGGTGGTCGGGGACGCGGCGGATCCCCGCACTCGTCGCTCAGGTGAGCGTCGGACGCCGGTTGACTCCAGCCGACTCGTCGGCGGCTTCGCTCGCTTGCTCGTCCGCCATGTTGACGCTCGCTCGGACTTGTTGGGACTTGTTGAGACCCGAACCTCCTCAGGAGGAGCAGTTCTTAAGTCTTGATTCAAACTCACTCCGGCCTTGCCGACAAGTTCTCCCGAGACAGTCGAGATGGGGGAGGAAAAGTGGAAAGAGGAGTTGATTGAGGTGAGAGCAGCGCCAAGCGGACGCGTTCCAGTGTGACGGTCATCTGTGACAAATAGCAAGAAAGTGATCCGAGCGGTGAAGAGGCAGGCGACAATTTGAATTTCTCACCAAGGTCTTCGTGCAAAAGCAGGATGGGGCGGTGGGCAGGTTTTTATTTTGATTTTTTTTTGAGCGCGACTTAATTGTCCTGACTCTGTTCATCTGTCCTTTTGTTTTTTTTACAAAAGCTTGCTGTCATGAGAAAGCTTCCTCAACACGAAGATGTCAGAAAGTAATTATGAACTGAACGTAAATGCAAAGGCAGGGTCCCACGTTGAAAAAAAATCAAATAACAGTCGAGTGATTCGAGTTGGATTTGGCGCTCAAACATGCTCAGCAAGAATCCAATGAAGAGCACCGCAGATGCTTTTTCAATCCACACGAGGGAATGAATCCACAACATTTGCAATTTGCAAAATGAAGAGCACCGCAGATGCTTTTTCAATCCACACTAAGGGAATCAATCCACGACATTTGCAGTTGATGAAGTCGCCACCGAAAATATCAGCCGCGACGGCGACGCCGAGTAGGAACGTCACAAGCCGCGTGGCCAAAACATGGGCGCGAGGATCTGCACGCTGCGCAAAAATCTCTTATCAGAATTGGAAACGAGTTGGAGGGGCGCATTTCAACTCGGAGCTCGGCAAGTTGTGCCGGAGATCGGTCGCGCGCGTACGCCCGGTTTGGGCTGCGGGGTGCCGCGATCCTCTTTCGGAACTGTTTGGAAAGAGCCGCGACGCGCGCTTCAAATGCCGGCCGGATCCCGTCTTGCAAATCAACGCGGGCACGAGATTGACAAGTTGGTGCGCAAGAGCGAGCCGACCGACCGCTCTTGTTCCGCTTGCGGTCCACCTTTGGGGCAAGCGCGGGCGTTTGCGACGTCACGCCCGTTGAAATTCGCAGGCCGTCGGAGCTTATCGGGGGATGTTGTTGCGGCGGAACTCGGACAAACGGCTTGGAGAGGAGATGTGTTGAGAGCCAATCGAGTTCTCCTCTTTGACTCTCCTTCCGAGGTGTTTTGGAGAGCCCGTTTCCCGCAGGCGATAGCGCACCAAAACCTTGCGAGTCCATCCTCGAAACATCCCTCATCAGGGATGAGCGAATGAGACGACGATTCCTGACGCGTCCTCCGTGTGTGTGTGTGTGTGTGTGTGTGTGTGTGTGTGTGTGTGTGTGTGTGTGCGTGTGCGTGCGGTGTTGCATGGTCAGACGTGTTTGTGTGTCCAAGCACGGTCCACAAGTCGACAGAAGGCTCCTCATCGGGTGCCAACGCGAAGCGCAAGGTGAGCCGGATCCAAAGTCCGGTGAGACAAGTAAGCCTTCTTTCTTTCCTCCCAACGTCGGGCGCGCACGCGTCAACGTTTCCCTTTCGCCCAAGCTGTCGGCATGCGAGCGGCGAGAGGACGCGAGGAGGAGGAGCCTCCCCAAAGACGACAGCGGCGCGCTCCAATGCGGGGAACAGTCGGTGAGTCCTCGCTTCCGCCGTGCAAAAACGACTTTTGCGGAAACAACGAGCGATGTCCCGATGCGATCGCGAGTCGGGCTCACTCGTGTGACGCGCATGTCCGGGTAGGTTTCTTTATTCGTTCAAGAAAAATGGGGTGCGCGCTCTCGATTTCTTTCGACGTTGCCCGAGTGCGGGATCAGGACTCGGCGTCGACGGATACTTCAAAGCAAAGACGAGGATTCGGACTCGGGTGAGTCCCCATTGGGAGATCCCTCAACATGAC